ACACAGGCAATTAGAAACTTTCCTTCAGTCATTCACTCAATGTTGGTGGAGCGCCTACCACCATCAGGCTGGCACTGAGTATGCAAAGCTGAAGAAGCCCTCAAGGAGATTATAGACCTAGTGAGTGAGGCGGATTAGGAGATGAGCTATTATAAAATGCCCTCCTACAGATGATAAGAATTGCATACTTGATGCTATGGGGACAGATTGGGGAGCCATCTCTGTCAAATAGTTTAAGGAGAAACATTAAAAACTGGGGTGGAGGGAGGGGGACACAGAGACCTTATAACTTGCTTATCTTTTCCTGTTGTACAAAATACTTAAAAAGACCTCAGATCCACTTCTGGTTTATACCCAAAAGAATTGAATGCAGGGACTCTGACAGATTTGCACGCATTGCACACATAGCAGCACTATTCACAACAGCCAAAAGATGGAAATGACGGACGTGTCCATCAACAGATGAACAGATGACTACATGCGCTATATGCATATGATATACAACCTTAAAAAAGAGAGAAAATTCTGACACGTGATACAACATGGATGCACTCTGAAGACATTATACTAAGTGAAGTAGCCCAGATACAAAAGGACAAAAGTTTTATGATTTCACTTGTACGAGGTACTTAGTCAAATTCACAGAGACAGAATGGTGGTTGACAGATCCGAAGGGAAAGGAGAGTTATTGTTTAGTGGGTACAGAGTTTCAATTTGGGAAGATGAAAACGATACGGGGATGGGTGTTAGTGACTGTACAACAGTGTACTAAGGCCACTGAACTGCACACTTAAAAATGGTGAAAACGGTAGATTTTTATGTACTGTATACTCTTTAAAAAGGACCTCAGAGAGTCTAACCCATTGACTTTACAAAAGAGGAAACTGAGGTCCGGAGAGGTAAATTGCTCAAAGTCACACAGCTCCTTGGGCAGAGACTAAAACACGGACCCTGACACAGTGCTCTTTTATCTGCCTCATACAATAACTCATGCAGTATTTTGTGCCTGGTGAGATTCTAAGTACTTTATATATATTAATTCATTCAACCTTCACAACAATCCATGAGGTAGATTATGCTTCCCCCTATTGTAGAAGTGAGGAAACTGAAGCATAAAGAACTTATATAATCCGCCAAGATGACAGTTAGCAAGTGACAGTTCTACTTCCTGGCTCCAGAGTGGACTTTACTACTACTCTGTAATGCTAGATCTTAGTTTTCATGTCCTACCCTCAAAGGCAAGAATCCTGTCCATCTTTAGGACAGTAGGTTGCAAATATGTCCCCAATTCTTCACCCCATTCTTAGCCATGCCCTCTGTAGTGTGACTTTGCAGCTCATCCTTCAAGAGGTAGAATCTACTTCTCCATTCCTTGAATCTGGAAATGGCCAATGGAATGTGGTGGAAAGTAATGATGAACTGGTTTCCAGCCCAGACATCAAGAGACCTTATATGCTTCCTCTTTTTCAGAACCCTGCCTCTGACATATGATTGGGTCTAAGCTAGCCTGCAGGAGATGAGAGACCATGTGGAAGAGAGCCCAGCTGTCCCAGATGAGGCCATCCGAGACGAATCTACATTTATCTAGTCCCCAGACATGTAGAAGAACCCAGCCAAGGTTTGCTGAGCTCAGTCAAGGAATAGGATAATTTTTAAGATTCCCCATACATACCAGCCAGTAGCTTTCTAGAACAATTATAATGAAGGATAATGTTATGACTAGAAGGGACAGAACTGGCTTTTCAGGCTGTGGGAACAACATGGGCAAAGCAAAGGTGGGAAAGTGCGGGCTATATTCAGAGAATAGTGAATAGTCCATTTCGACTATAGACCATTGTGCTTATTGGGAAATAAACCCAAAGAAGTAGGGTAGACCTGGCTTAGTTGCTACCTAAGTTACTAGGTGCTGAGAAGCCTTTAAATGCCTAACATGTTCATTTTCCCTTTACAATACCATAGGGAAGTGTTAGGATTTCCAGCTACAGGAAAGAGGTCCCAAATCAGGATTTAAATATAAATAGTCTGACCCCAGAGCCAGCCTCATCCACTTACTACAAAACCATGGTAGAGAGAATACTGTGAAGATACTTCCATTGGCCAAGAAAGAAAGTATGAGGGCCTGCCCTGAGGAAATGGCCTTGGAGATAAATAGGAAGCACTGGCTGTGAGTAACAAGCAAGAGGATGGGCGACAGGTCTAGACATCGGATTGAGTGAATGAGGTGAAGACTGAAAAGAGCCACAGGGGACTGCTTAGATGCTGAGCCCAGATGCCTGGGACAGTGATCGGTATTATCTTCAGATACACAGAATGCAGAAACTGGCTCATACGTGTTGATTCTGAAATGCCCTGCTTGGGGTGAACAAACACATGAGAACTACAGGTAGATTGAATGAAGCACGGAATTAAGGCATGAGAAATACGTGAGATCTGCAGAGAGCTAAACCGCAATTTCCTCATTTGTGAAATAAAGTTATTGTTATAATTCTTCATGAATTTTATCCAGCATGAAAACAGAATTCCAATCAAGCACTGTCTCCTTTATTTTTATTTTTTTGGCCTAGAAGTTATTTTTGTTGGTAATCAAGTGGGAAGAAATGTAGTGAACTTCGATATCGTTTCACTCAATAATACTGAATTTTCTCCGACTTGCAATTTTTATTGAGAGTTAAGATTTTATTCTCATATCTACAAGCTTTTGAAAATGTAATATTTAGTCACCATTCTAAAATTTCGTTTCTTACAGGTTGTATTTTGCTTATTTTTTGTTTTGTTTGTGAGACTCAGAATCAATTTAAAAGGCAGGGGTCGGGGGGATAGTTAATAATTACTGCATGTACCTGGCATCCTGCGTGTATATTTCCTCCTTAAAATATAGTCATGTGGGGAATAGGTCATTTTAACCCCATTTTAGAAATGGGGAGATGAGGCTTATAGGTTAAATAATTTGACTAAATGAAAAGCTAATTAGGTATAGAGTTGGCAAAGGCAAGCAAAATGAGTTTTATCTCTTATAGACTTCCTACTCACTGGTGCTTTTATTATAATGTTGGCTAAGAAAAGATGAAGTTAATAAATGTTCTCTTTCCCAGAGCAGAAGTGTTTGAGAACACTGGTTTAAGATTTATGCTCCTACTCAGAACAGAAGAGCGAGTTGTGTTAATAAATTCATGGAAGAATGTGCCTAAATGGCAGACTGATGAGAAACAGATGTGACTTCAAATCTGCCTTCTTCTATGCTCAGCTGCAGCACTTGGCAACCTCCTTAGCCAATCTGAGTCACAATTTTCTCAGCTGTAACATTCAGAAAAATAAAAGGTCACTTACAAGGTTATTATGGGAACCAAGAAAGAAGAGAGAGTACATGAAAGCATCTACCTCATGCCCCTCAACAAATTCAATAAGTAACATTTCCTTTCTCTTTCCAAAAGCAGATAGGTCCTGCATTTATCGCTGATAGGTAGACTCTGTGGAAAGAATATTTATCATCTTCCAATTATTACATTAATGATCAAGTTTATTGAATTTGAAACCACAATCCAAATTAATGCATTGTTTTGAATTTGTGATTCTTTTCAAGTCCCTGGTAAGTAGGTAACTAAAAACATTACCATATGAAGATTAATTCCTCTGCGTGGCATGAGCCCCTTAACATTTACAGGTGAGATATGTTCATGTGCTAAGCATTCAACACATGCAGGGAACTAGAAACCCAGAGCTGCAGCTGATTCACTAAAGTGAACTCCCAGCACCATCAGCACCTCTGATTCATTCCGTGCATCGCATAATAAATCTCAACTAAATGGCACACACATTGAACAAAGATTTACATTTATAAGTCATTCTTCCCCTGGGCAGGAGGTGAAACAGTTTGTTAATAAGGAAGCAAAGAATCTAGAAACACCACTGGGTTTTTTTTTTGTTTTTTTGTTTGTTTGTTTTTGTTTTTATCTTTCTGATTGTGACTTCTCTACTCTTTCTTCAAATGCTCTTTTTCAGCACCAAAACATGTACTCCCAAAGATATGTGATTAATTCATCCTCATTAAAGTGTAAATCAATGATAAAGCCTAATGTCTCCCAAGGGCATTTATTTACACCATAATTGGAAATAAGGTCCCTGACTTACATGAAAGAAATTAGATTCTAGTGATGAATGTTTAGTCTGCAAAGCAACAAGAAAGAACATTTTTAGGGACACCTGGGTGGCTCAGTCAGTTAAGCATCCAACTCTTGATTTCAGCTCAGGTCATGATCTCACAGCAGTGGGTTCAAGCCTCACGTAAGGCTCTGTGCTGAGTGTGAACCCTGCTTGGGATTCTCGCTCTCTCCCTCTCTCTATGCCCCTCCCCCACTCAGGCATGCACACTAGCACTCTCTCTCTCTCTCTCAAAATAAATAACATTAAAAAAAAAAAAAAAAGATAACATTCTTAGTCCTAAAACTCTGTATGTTGCTCTCCAAGTCAACTCATTAGGCCATCCCCCTGCACTTAAAACTAGATATGTCTATCATATACCCTTAAAGCTCCTTTATCCAGTCCCCTAAAGATTTGTTTCTTAAAGTAGACTCAAATGTAACACCTGATGAGAGCATGGGGGGTCTCATTCTGGTTCTGCCACCACTACTACCACCACCACTCCAGCTACCAAACAAACCCATCATTAGCTTCCTGGGATTCTCGGCCTACGTCTTGGGAGACTGTGAGCCAGGACTGTGGAAGCTACCAGTGTGGGTGAGAATGAGTTCATGCCTAGGAAGGGCCACAGAGTGAGGCGGAGACCTGCTTCTCCTATGACATGTGAACCAACCCCACTACTCAGAGAAACAGTTGCCAGTGAAACAGAAGACAATCACAGCAAAGTACATTTTAAGCTCAGAAAGGAAACTCCTTGCAGGACTGAACTCCATAATCTCTACCTAAAGATTGGCAGGGTTTTGAACATGAACGTTTCAGTGCTATCAGGAGGAAGACTTCTGGGTTTCCCTAGTGTAACTTACCTGAGATCCATATCTCCATCGACCCAGAAGGTGAAAATGTTTGAGATGGTTCCCCCTGGGCAGCACCCCATGACGAGAACAGCAACGGCTTGGGCTGGCTTCAGAGAGAAGCTGATGGCCAGGAGATAGGCTGTAAGAGGCATGAGGCCAAACTGGCAGAGCAATCCTACAGCAATGCCCCAGGGTCTCCTGATGTGCGACCATAGCTTCCGGAACTCCACAGAGCATCCCAAGGAGAACATGAGCAGGCCCATCATCACAGCCGTCACCACTGTGAAAACAAGTTCCAGGTTCCCATGTACCTCCAGTCCCACGGGCAACTCCTCCTCCGAACTGTTAGCAGGGCAGGCTGAGCTGCTGGAACAGTTTGCTCTCATCTCTTCATCTCCTTAAGACAGCATGACAAATGAACATCTGCCGCAACAGCTAGGCAGGTCTATTCTTCCACGTTTTGTAATAACACAACCAAGTCATGCATGGAGAGTCATTCCAATAGCTATTGGCCAGCCAGGTGATTCATCCTAATCTGATCAATGTATTCATGAGTGGCATTATAAAAGTAATTATCATGGGCATGAAACATATAATAAACTGGTAAGTAAGGCTTTCCACTTCTGTTCTTACTCACCACTGAATATTCAAGCGAAATGAGACAAGCAAATTTATTGTCAAGTGGAGTGACTGGGCTGTGTCGTCAGCATCACGCTATGTTCCAGGAAAATAGGTTGAATGCCAAGACATAATTTCTCCAAATTCAATGGGATTTCAGAGAACCAGGATGCAATGTTTTGCAGAGGGGAAATCTAACTGGAAAAAACAAAGGCACTAAGCCAAAAGCCACTCCCCATAGCACTAGCAAAAAAACTCTATCGAAAATATTAAAGCGAAAGATCAGTTATGGAAATGTCGAGAGGGACTAAGGATATTTTCAGGAGTGCTTCAGAATTAGTTTCAGTTTCTCTTCTTCCTATTTCTACTAGAATTTGTCTCTAAAGCCAATAATTAAACACCTGTAAGAATAATATGGTACTAAGCACCTGATTTGTTTCATCAAATGTGGAAAAATTCTGTACCCAAAATAATTCAAGGAAGCTGTCACTTTCCTTTGGAGAACAGAGTCGGCTTTCAGATGCCACACCCCTGGCCCTCGTGGTGAGGTCTGGGAATTCTGCAAAAGAATGTAGTTAAGAGTTTGTCATGAAGGCTAGAGACAAAGTCTGAGGCCAGTTTCTGACCACAATGGCCCAGGGGCCCTTCTGTGTTTCTTAACCACACAGATGCACATTTCATTGGCAAAACCAGACAGGAAAATATGGTTCCATGAAACTAAACCTACAAAAGAGCAGATGCCACACCTTTTCTCACAGAAAGCAGAAAGTTTATTTATGTGGCAAAGGTTGGCAACAAGGCACACTTTATAAAACACCTCTACCTGTCTTAAGAGGTGTATTAGCTATGCATTGTTTATTTTTGGACTAGCAAAGTATTTTCCATGACAAAATGCTCTGAGCCTGTTTACTACATAAAAATACAAGTTAAATACAAATGTAAAAATAAAATCTAACTACTCGAAGAAAGTATAAACTGGCTCAGGCAAAGATACCTTAAAAGCAGCTCTGAAGTTAAAACCTTGCTGGAGGCCATCCGAAGTCAGCACGAGGGCCTGCTGCCACCAACTCTTGATTCCTGCCCAAGAAGAAGCCTACATTTACACCAAGCTTGGTAAGCCTGCCAGAAGACAACCCAGAACCACCTGTGCTGACTGATGCAGAGCTAGGCAGAGAAATGGACACTTAGGAATTGGGTTAGGTCTCTGGAAAGCAGAGATACGGTCAAGCTGAAGAAGAATGGAGGAGGGACACAACAAACATTTCTGAGCACCTACTATGTAACAGGCCATGCTAGGTCCTTTACACATATGTGTGCGCCTGGTAAAGCAGAACTTTTTTTT